TAGGAAACGCGTCAATAAATTTATTTCTTTTAAATGCATACGTGTCGGTCACTTTAACTTCGTTTGCCGTGATGGTCGGGTTATTAAGTCGAAAAGCCATTGCATTCATTGCTGTCATATCAGCTGCGGTGGTTGTAGGCATATTTTCGAATAATTGAGCAAGATTTGTTTCGATTTCTAAAATAATTACCAATTTTAAATTTTTTCCAAAATATTCTTCTAATTCAAAAATATCATCTAAATGATAGAGGGGAATGCTAAATTGGCATCCTGCTGCTGAGCATGCCGGAATGACAAATGGCGCATTATTTAGAGCTTGATAATTTGTCGGTCCAGTTGCAGTATCAGCAATAATTAGGAGTATTTGGATCAGTCATATGTGCTAAAGTTGCTGCCCTGGTAACACTTAAACCAAGGTTAGGTGTAGGGCCAGAGCTATCAGCTCGATAGTTTGCAGTTTGAGCTAAGTATACTTTATCGAGATAAGATGTCGGATATTTAAAGCGTTGAATGTAACCGCGTTGTTCATTTTTTTCGTTTGTATTTAAACTGTTATTTGCTGTTGTTTGATTATTCTATTCAAAATTTGGATACACTTTTATGCCTTTGATCAGATTCAGGCAAAAATTAGCTCTCATAGCGATTTTTCTTATAAACGCAGCGTCAGCAGCAGTGAATGGAGTGAGCACATTGCTTAGTATTGATTTGTAAAGATTCAGTGTAAAATTGAGCGCCATGGTGCGATAAATTAGGTTTTCACCTGGTTGAATTGTAAATTGAATTTTTTTTTGTCATATCAGTGTTAGTGTCTGGATAATATTCAACGTCATAATCGGTTAAAACCTCTCCTTGTTGTACGGGTACATCAAAACCTCGCCAACGATCTTGATATCCCTCTATTTCTTCTTTTGTTAATTTCGCAGTAAGCGAAGGCAAGCTCTCTTCATCCATTTTTTTTTTTTTGTAATAACAAAAAAAACAAACTTTAAGTAATGCTTTTTTTATTATTACATTTTTTTTTGAATGCAAGCGTTGTAAAAAAGCGAATTGATGTGATCTTCTCTTTTTTTAATTTGTAACCGCGAAATTTATAACAAATTAACGACTCTATAGGTATTTAAGAATATATAATATTTAAAAAAATTTTTTTTTTTTTTAAATTTAGTCCTCTTCTTGTTCAAATTTTTTCTTTACTTCTTTTAGTGCTTTTTTGTATCCCTTCGTCATATACTTTTTCTTTATTACTTTCTTGTCAACTGGCGGTGTTTTTTTTACAAACAACGACTCTCTTCTATTGCAGTCTTTGCAATATTCGTGTATAACATCTACTGCATTTACTGCATTTTGACACATTGCACAGAGATAACGAGTTTTTTCGACTTGAATGGCAGGTTTTTCATAGGTATCTCTAATCGTAGGTCTTTCGAAAATAGGTGTTTTTTCTACAGCGACAGAAACGTCTGTGATTTTTTCAACTGGCGACTCGACTTGTTTTGGACTCTTTTGTTTTGCTAGATCATCTTTAAGTTTTAAAAATTGGTGATGTTGTTCCTGTTTTTCCTTTTTCGAGTTGCTGTTGTAACAGTTGAAGTTGATCGTTTAAGTTAATAAATCCATTTTTTAATTTTACATTTTCATCTTCTAAATCATATTTGCTTCGATCGACAACTCGTCCGAGCGGATTTAACAAGTGCCTTGAATTTTTTTTAACAAAATATCTGTTTCTTTTATTGTGAAACATTTTTTTCTGATGGTTTTTTATTTATTTGTTAGAAGCTCGAGATGTTTATAATAAAAGATTTTCAATTGAAAGGCTGAATATAAAACGTAAAATTAGGGTTATTGAATGTCGCAGTTTCATCGAATTGAAGAGGTGCTAAATCTGAATTGACAAAGGTTATTTTTAAATTTTTAAAATCGTCAGCATCGTTAATGACAAATGTTTTGTAGAATCCTTCAAATTGCGGTCTAATTGTGTTTTCAAAACTAATTTGAACTACGCTATCTTGAATAGCGAGATAGAGAGCCATGTCAAATGACATAATGACGTTGTCTAAAACTGTGTTATTAACAAACGTCGGAGTTTGCTCTACGCCATCCATAGTAATCCAAACGTTTTTGTCGCTAGGTTTAAAATTCAATACACGATTAGATATGTTTAAAATAATAGCTAGCGTGCAGATAAACTTTCTTTTTCCGTTAAGAAGCGTTGACAGGTCACGAACGTTAGCTGCAGACATTTTAAAAGAATACGGATTTTTTTCTACTCCGACCAGTGATCTATCGCGCTCTAAAAGCACAGTTATTCTTTTTTCAATTTTATACATTGGCTCGTAGAGAGACATCTTGAGGCACTGAATAGGCAAACTTGTTTTCCAGTCTTCAATGATCGAACCGTCGTCTGCTACTTGCAATATTATTCCGCCTGTATTTGAGACACCTCGCACTGTCAATTGTTTCAACGACAACTGTTCTAAATACGATTTGGAACTGTTACTAAACTTAAAATACTTATTGTCGCTCGGAGCAATTTTTCTCTCGATAAACGCTGTCGAATTTAAGCTGACTTTAAGGCTGTTACTGAATATAGAGTCGGCCTCGTCTATATAAAATAAAACTTCTAAGTATTTGCCATAGTCAGCTGTCGGATCAATATTTAATATGTCGACATTTTTCATTAACATAAACGCATCTTCGGATATAGTAGACGGTGTCTTTGTTTTTATTGCCAGCGGAGGCACAAAAAAACCTTCGCGCTGTCCTTACGCTGTGATCGTTGTTAAAAATGTTTGTAAATAACGGCAATATCCAAAATGATTCATTGCCTGTGCCTACACTAATGTTAGTGTAATCGTACGGAACCTCTAATTCTGTCAAGCCGTACGGTTTATTGCATAGAAAAGGCTCGCTGCCTCCTAATGAATTAGGGAAAAATTGAGGAGTTTGCCATTGAAATTCTTTCCATACCAATTCGTTGCTTGCCAAATAGGGCATGGGCATGTCATTAAATTGAACATTTTCTAAAGTGAATTTGTAAGTAACATAATGATCTTTAGTGAAATCAACAGGAAAAAAAAGTTGTTGCTGCAAGAACATGAAATGATGAGGAGGAAATTGAGGAACACCTGTTTTATCGACTGGAAGATTGTTCGAAATAACATTATTTTTTCGCATGTACGTTCCTACCATATTTCCTAGCAAAAACTTAAGTACGTCTGGAGAATTTTTGTCAGACGTAAACGCAATCGGTATCGAATCTACACATGTGCGATAATTGTATCGACAAGAGGGACATAATCTAAATCGTACCAAGGCGACATGCTTTGAGTCTTATCATTATATTGAATAGCTGTTTTTTTGACAAGCGGATCGTTTACTACATGTTTAATGCATTGAGCAACATTCCATGGTAAAAATTGTTTATAATAAAACGCTTGCAATTCTTTGAGTTCAGGAGTGCTAGGCGTCGGTCCGGTACTCTTCATCATATTAGCTAAATACAAATCCATCTTCACTTCGCTAACATAATAGAACGAGTCCAATATGTTGTAACGAACAGGCGTAATGCGGTAAACGATTCTCTTGTTGCTTGTTTTAGTCATATTGTAATAAGGACGCGTAGGATCAATGAGATTTAATACTTCTACATTTGTAGTATTCTTATAATGTTCAACAAATACTAAAAACGGTAAAGCTATAATTTCAGCTTGAGATTTATTCTGCCAAACGTGTACTGAAGGATCTGTTGGATCTGGTCCGAAAAATTGATAAAATGTTCGCGCCCAATTAAATAATGTTTCATAAGGAGTTGGACCTTGCGTGTCACGTGTAATGTTTGACCAAGAACCAAAATCAACCGCAACGGGCGTATCAGGATCGCGATCGCTCGAGCGCGAATAAATCATTAAATCAAGTAATGCGAGTTGTCGCTTTGAGCTAATCTCCATTGGAAACCAAGGATTTGTTTTGTCCCAGCCGCTTGTGTCTTTATAACTGAATTTTGTTCGTCCGTAATGTAAATAAAAATCAGGCGCTGCGGCTTTTGACCAAGTGTATTGTAATTCAGGAGTTTTATTACCGTTGGCATCTTTAACAGATTCAATACCAAACAAATCGTTTCCGAGTGCAGTTTGATAGGTACCTAAAAGTTGCAAAGGTAACAAAAGCGCGTTATTTTTAAATTAATTATTAACATAAAAAGAGTTTACATCGTAATATAAGTCGCTGCGTTTCACCACTTGTTTTGTTGAATTTGGTTTGCGATGAGTCAACGGCACTTTAAACCATTTTGAGAACACGTCCACGCCTGGTTGCAGTTTTTGTAACGCATAAAGAAGAGTGCGTGTCGAAGAAACACCGCTAAGTTTTTGAGTGGCCAAATCTGTTGCTAAATTCAACGATTCAGTATAGGCGCCGGCTTCTTTTCCAAAATCCATGTAATACTGTATGCTTCGTAAATAAAAACCATTTTTTATTTCGGTATTGAGGATAGAGTCCATTCCGCCTTTTTCAAATACAGACACGAGTTCTGTACTTATCATGCGTCGCATGTAATCGTTCACTAATTTTCTTAATTCGTACTGATCTTCTGTTAAAACTATAATGTTTGCAGGTAGTTCCATTTCCTTGATGTGTATAATAGTGTCCTCTTTAAATGTTAAAGCCGGTTCGCTAGGCAAGGAGAGCGGAATTTTATAAAAATTGTTTGCAACATCGTTATTGCGAATAACTTTTACAATATTATAAATGTTCTTCAAATCCCACTTTGAAACTACATTGGTGCTCGCTTTTGCAAATTTAAGTCGCGGATCCGTATTGATATTTCTTTTGTACACTTTCATACCGACTAGCAAAGGTTTTAAAATGGGTAGTTTTTTTTTCAACGTTTCGTTTTCTACTCGATACAAATTTTGACTTTTAAACGTCAAACGAGCTTTCTTTTGATCTTGAAAACTATCAAGCATGCGCAAAGCTTCACCTTGTTTTGTATCTAAATTCAATTATTCAGGCGTGATGCCAGACACTGTGCGTTTTGATTTGTTTAACTTTTCTTCTACTAGCGGCAAAAAACTGGTCCAATCTGTCTTGTCTGTCAATTTTTTAGCGATTCTTAATTTTTGATATATATCTTTGAGGCGCCGAATAGCGTTTTCAGCAAGATAAGCCTTTTGCAGATTTTTCGATGAGAAATGCGTAATTTTATTTTCATTACACCACGCTTCAAACTGTTTGTTATAAAATTCGCCACCTCTGTCGGTCTGCAAAAAGACTTCTTCTTGTCTGTTCATGTGTTCGAACAAGCTTTTTAGAGCAACAAGTATTTCTCTTGCTGACTTACCGATGCTGGCTTTGAAACGAACAAACCCGCTGACACCGTCAACGAGAACAATGCAATAGTTGCGACGATATACTTTTTTATCCGTATTAAAAACACTCATGTCGGCCAAATCGCAATGAAAATATTGTCCTGGCAAATTATAAATTTTTTTATGCGTGCGATAACTGTACGGTGTTCGTGGCTCTTCTAACTTGCTCAACACGTTGGTCACTTTAAACAATAACGACATTTCGCTCCATCTTTTTATTAATTTGTTATAGGGTTCGTTTTCTTCTCGAAATTTTCTAATGTTATCGAACAGTTTTTGATCTTGGGCACTTTTGCTGCCGTTTTGCAAGGCTAACAAGTTTTTTTGATTTTGGCAATCGTGTTCAATCCAAAAAGCGAACTTTGAATGGTCGTCAACGCCAAACTCACAAGATCATCAATCTGATCCATTTTTTGATAAACTGAAAGCTGCTGATTTTTTAGCAATTTCTGCCTTTAAATCGTCAATTTGCTTTCGTGTATCCGGCGAAAATGTTTCCTCGTCGACCTTTAAAGGGTTTCTTACGTCTTTAGGATCTACATAATCTTTATTTTTGAGAGGAGTGGACGTAGAAAAACTCTGACTTGTGTCCGTGTTAAAACTGCTTTCGGGTGTGTCAAAAAACTCAAGTCGCTGACGAAACGTTTCAGATGTTTTTTGACTTTTTTTTGCGTCGCTTCTCAGTTGCATAGTGTGAATCTTTTTAGTGATGACATTTAATGGCGTGTTTTGATCAAATTTTATAAAAGAAGCGTATTTTAAACAAAAATCTTTCACCTTTTTAGGATTACCTTCGGGACCGAGCGCTGCATATTCGCTAACAAGAAAATGCAAAGAACTTGCGTTGTTACTGTAAAGCGTGCTGATCACCATGATCGTTTCAATTTTGGCTTGAACAGAAACGTTGCTGTTTGTATTGAACAAGTTAGGCAAGTTGTCGATAACGTTTGCCATAAATTCTTTTTCCTTTTCCATAATGTTCATGATAGCCGCATAAATGCCTGCACTAAACGCTTGTTTTCTTAATGCGATAAATCGCTGATGAAAAAACCGATAGGATAATATATAAAAAAACAAAAGAGCAGAATCCATATCGTCAGCTTTATAAAATTTTTTTGTCAAATAATCTAATTTGTTTAGTCGTTCAGGTTCGATTAACTTTTGAGATTCTTTTACAATGTCCATCATGTCATCGATAAACTATTGTCCGGACATGCGATAGTAGGCCAAAAGATCCATGATTCATCTGTTGACTACATCTTCAAGACTGCCAATGAGTTGTTCAATGATTCTGTTGAAAAGAGAAGTATCGTCGAGAAGATTCGCTGTGGCAAAACTGGTATTTAAAGAAACCCATTTAAAATCTTTTTGTTGTGTTTTGTCTAAAGAAACACTGTCCCATTTCTTTGTATCACGAAATGGAACTTGACCTTTTGTGGCAGCTTTCAATAGTTTTGAAAAAGGCAAATACACCAAATCGTACTTATCGTATAATACATATTTGGGTTCTTCACTGACGTGAGAGTTGATTAAAGTAAAAATGTTGTTGGCTTCCTGATAAACGAGTCGTTCGTCAGAAAGAGGAGGTAGTTGTTTATTTGTCATATTGGATATGATCATCTCTAAAGTTTCATTTGTATCAAAAACTTTACTTTTGTACGTTAAAAAAAGGCGAACGTTGTTTGGCACATTGCTGTCCGTTTTCAAAACAGGAAACGATAATTTATAGGCATTTTGTTGAAGACTTCCGCTGTGTCCTTTCAACGCCCTACCTATCCAATCTTTGATAAGTTTTTCGCTTGAAAGTCTGCTATCGTTTAGCAATTGCGTTTTTTCAATTTCGTTTACGTCACGGTAGAGAGCATTAAATTCGTGAGATTCTAACGGAACAAGCACATGTCGCGCAGGTTTGGTTGGAGGTTTATAAAAGTCTTTTAGTGCTTCACTTCGTAACGTTTGCGAATTTTTTGTTTGTCTTTGTGTTCGATTAAATTCAACCAATTGTCGCGTGCTATTTCTCGCATTAAATTCTTCAATTTTATCTCTCTTAAGCAATTCAACAAAAACAGGAATGTCTTGATTGACACTTTGAAACGCATTCCACACGTTTGGGTCTGTTATTACGTTAGGAGCATCAACAGCAAGCAAAGTCATATAAGGGTATTGCTCTTGCAATGAGCGATTAAATTCAAGTTGTTGTTCGGCTGCTATTTCATACTGACCACGATCGGTCCATTGATTTTCAGCATATTGACCAAACTGTGGTAAAGTTAATAGTTCCGGCTCAATAGTATATTTTTTATTTGGATCAAGTTTATTGCCGTTAATCATAACATCATTGCTTTTTTCTATTTTTGCAGCCTCTTTTAAATAATCCAATTTAGTCAAATCTTTTCGGTTATCTTTTAGTTTTTTTATAATGCCATTATAAAGTTCGTCAACTGTAGGAGGATTATAATCTCGTTTCATTTTTTTTTTCAAAAAAAAAACTAATTTTTTTTTATAACTTTTTATTTATTCCATAAGTATTATAAAAGTAAGTGCGCGCGTGACTTATAATAATGTCAGACGGAGCGCTGCTTTTAAAAGCATAAATTTTAAAAAAGTACATATTGACCATGTTGATAAATTTGCGAAAGTCCAGCGAATTGAAATAACGTAAAAGCGTATCTTTGTGAACGCTAACATAGTCTATTATTAAATTATTTCTTTCTTGTTTTTTAAATGTTTTTCTCTTTAACCTGCCCGATTCGTCTTCTGTCGAGTACGGAAATAGCATTTCTCCCAAAAACAACTTGATGCACGGATCAACATAGTCTTGGAACGCTTTGATGATATCGTTTCGTTCGTCGTTCGTAAAAAAATCATAGGACAGCATGAACGACGGATTGAGTTTCTGTACAAAATGACCCATGTACACGATGATAACGTTTTTAGTTAGGATTTTTCTTTTTTTTAAATCAGGAATAAAAAGATTACTTCGCGCAGCCAAACTTATTCTTCGCATGGCTTTTTTCTTGTCTATTTTGCATTGAAGTTCCGTCTCTTTATACTCGTAGGTAACGACACGATCAAGTTCTTCTTCTTTATACTCGTAAGTAATGACACGATCAAGTTCTTCTTTTCTTTCCTCTTTGCTATGCATTTCAAGATTGACTAAAGATTTTTTTTCAAGTTCGTTTAATCGTGTAATTTCTTTCTTGACCTGCGACTCGTCGCGTTGAAGTTCGCTAGCAAGCCAAATATCAAGATCTTCAATGGTCTTAAACATCACTGTCGTTGTTACTCTCGCTACTGCTGCAACTACTGCTCTCTGCTGAACTTGAAAAGCGTCTTTTTTTAAGTTTTTTATTTACAAAATCAAGTTTTCTTTTTTTATTATCTGAAAAAACAATAGGTTCATTTTCATAATCAGGGGGTCTGTCATCGTCTAATTCTAGATCTTTTTTAATTAAATTTTCTAATTTGTAAACATTTTTTTTGCATAATACACGAATGTAATTGTGGTTTACAAAGGTTGTTCACGGTTTGTTTTCAATTTTTGTTTGCGTATACTCATAGTCAGCTTCGCCGTTGCTAGCGATTGGTACGTAAACAATTTGCACATCGACATTGTCGATTTGACTTCGTAACTTTGCTGTATGTTCTCGGAACAATGCTAAATGATCGTGTTTTGTTCGATCAGCTGTGATTTCTTTAAAAGATGCACCGCTGAATTTCGATTACGATTACTCGACGGAAATTCTTCTGCGAGGATACGATTGATTTCAGGCGACTCGTTAAATGCAACTATCAATTTATAATTACCAACTAAAGTGTTCCATTTGGTATTTTGTTTAAAAGGAAGAGCATGAAATAACTTATAGTGCCTATTTGCAAATGAGAACCGCTTGTAATCAAATTGCTATACTGTGAACTTTTTAAACAGTCATCTTGGATATCGTCAAAAATAAACACTGTTTTCGTTTTTCTATTGTTGCTATTTTGTGTTTCGTAGGCTTCCTGTTGAATTTGCAAAAGGCTAGCAATAATGTCGTCCAAAGACTTCTTTCCGTCGAGCTCGTGAAAATAAACGCTTTTTATTTTCGAATAGTCGCTTCGACACACGCGTTGCCATTCTTGTTTTTGCTCCTTAGCCAGCTCGCGTTTATTAATCAAGTGATAGTGTTTGGCTTCGAACTTTCCGTTCATTACAATGGAGCGAGTCAATTTGCTTTTGCCTGAATTTACAGGACCTACGATAAGCACATTGCCCTGATAAACGTCGACTTGTTCCTTGAAAAAGTCATACTTTTCAGAAGGCAGTTCTTTGTCGCCAATTTCGCTAGATTTATTAAGCGGCAAAGGAAATCCTCTTTTTTGACACAGTGCCTCGTAAGCGTTTTCCATTTTTATTTTCATGGTTATGAAAAAAGAAAAGAAATACAAAAAAAAAAATTTATTCAGTATTTTCTTGTATCGATTTTAAAATAGGCAACGCAAAGCGCCGCATGAAGAAGTCTCTTTTTTGTAAATCAAGACAAGCGTTTATCATTTGTTTTTCTAATTCAAACAATTGACGTAAGTGCTCGTCGCTGCACAATTTTGCCATGTCGTTCTCGACTGTTTGGTTTAATTTTCTCAAAGCTTGCAATCGAATATCGCCACGAATCAGTCCCAACCCGTTATTGCATACGTACAGCTTTGAGTTGACTTTATTCATAAAATTTATTTTTTGCTCGCACAATGCGATGCCATTAGTTAAAAACTGGAGTCGATTGTGTTTAAATAAAGTGCTCGATCTGTTCAAGCAGGATCTGGTGCTGTCAAAATAGTTTTCCAAAACAAACAAAGAAAGTCCGTTAACATAATGCGACGATAACAAATGCTGTTGAGGAAAACCTTTAGCTCTAAATTTGTGCGAGTCGTCTACAAACGTCACTTTATAACATTTAGCTGCTAGAGCTATCACAAAAGTGATAAGTTTATTAGGTGATTCGTTTTGAAAGCGATGGGTCATTTTTTGATAACGAGTAGAGTAAAGTGGGTGATGTTTAGGATAATTCGAGTAATCCATCATGCTTTCAAAATCCTTAGCGTTAGCTAATACGTTTTCAACTTTTATATCAAAATCTTCACAGTGATCTCCGTATATACTAAAAAAAAGAGAATCCGTATCTGTTGCAACAAGCTGACAAAAAACGTTCTCTTTCAGCAGAGCT